CGTGCTCCCCTCATCCCCCGCCCCCGACCTTGAATGAAAGTCCGGGAGCCGCAGAAGGCCACACTTCCTTCCCCGAGGGATCGCGCTGACTCGCGCTCCTGCGGGGAGGGAGGAAACTGGCATCCTGAGGGGTCACTGTGAGGCACAGACGCTCAATCTTTAGCCTCCAGGAAGGAAAGCCGAGGGGGCTCTCGGAGGAGTGGTGTCTGTGTGAGTTTTGGGGCGGGGAGGGGCAGATGTCCTGGGGCGCAAGGCCGTCGTCCAGGATTCATCTCCGTCTTCCTTGGCTTACCTGGCTCTAGCGGAGACTGCGGCGGCGAGGCCTGGGTGGAAGGCGGAGGCGATTCCGGAGAAGACGCGACCAGAATGCAGCAGGGCCATGGTGGACGGCAGGAGGGCAGTGGTAGCTGCAGGACCAAGCGGAGGGCAAGCAGGCGCAGACACTGAGGCGCGCGGGCTCCTGCAGAAGGCGAGGACAACGACTTCCCTGGGCGGGGCTAGCGTGGCCGCGTGCTAGGCCCGAGCCGCGTCACAGCGTCCCCTGGCGGCTGGGGGACTGAGCAGCGAGGCCTCCGGGGAGGTCCCGGGAGACGATGACAATTCAGTTTATCACCGCCTACCTGCGCAGGACGCTTGCACCCTTCATTCATTTAATTCTGCCGAACCAAAGAGGTGACTGCTATTATGCTAGTTTGAAAGATGGGACAATTGTAGGCTGACGGAGGTGAGGTATCTTGCCTAATGCTTTACAGCCATTGAGGCCCAAGGTGGCCTTCCTTTCAACCCTAAACTGTCTGCCGGATTGTTTCCCTAAGTGCAAGCCTTGTCACCTTTCTGAATGTTTCCTTACCCCTATTATGGGGGATAGCATACGTATTTTACTGGGGAGGGGGCGTTGTGAGGATTAAATGAGATTAGCAGATTATGTCTAAAAGCAAGGCCTGATTTAATAAACATACTATAGCCCATGGCTATTAATGACCAACTAGGGTATGTCAAAACCTTATAGAAGGGAGTGAACAGGTTTTAAAAGAAAATGCAAACGAATTTGAGACAAGTCCACAAGTCAAACAAATCTACCCTACACTTGGGCTATTTCTCTGAAACTCTTCGATAAAAACCAGATAGAACTGTGTCCCTTATCAATTTAATTTATCTCACTATGGTTCCATACTGCCTGAATAATAAAGTCCAGACCCCTACCTAGGATCACATTCTAAATCCTTCCAGTCCAGCTCCAATTTACTGTCTCAGGCTCATACCTTCTATCTAACCTTGACTTGTGCTCCCGTAGGCCGTGACTTGGGATTCCACCACTGTATTAGTTTGCTCAGCCTGCTGTAACAAAGCACCACAAATCAGGTCGTTTAAAGCAACAGATATTTATTATTTCTCAGTTCTGAAGGCCAGAGGTCCCAAATCAAGATATTGGCAGGGTTTATGCATTATGGAATCCCAGAGAGAATCTGTTTCATGCCTCTCCTAGATTCTGGCAATTGGCTGCAATCCTTGGCATTCCTGTGCTTGTAGATGCTTGGCTCTAATCTCTGCCTCTGACATCGCATAGTGTTTTCTCCCTCTCGATCTCTGTGTCTCTTCTCTTTTTTTAAGAGCACCAATCACATTGGGTTAGGGTGCATTTTTAATGGCCTCATCTTAACCTGATTATAACTGCAAAGACCCTATTTCCAAATAAATCACATTAACAGGTACCCCAGGTTAGAACTTTTTGGGGGACACATTTCAACTCATATCAACCACTATGCCCAAAACATTTGTCTTATCTGAGTTCCTTTCTCAGGAAACCTACATTCAGGCCTGTACTGTCAAGGAACTGAAACACGCCAGAGCAACATATCCAGACAATGAAATGCCAGACCCCTCCCCAATTCTTGTTTACCAACTTATCTTCCCTACCCCTCCCTAATTCCTGTTATCAACTCCTTTTCCTGATCCTTCCCTATTCCCTTTTACATTCCTGCTCCACTATATAAACTTTTGACTTCTGTGGTATGGGATCCGAGTTTGAGACAATTTCCTGTTCTCCTTGGCTGATATAATTCAACAACAATCCTCCTTCCCTGGCAATATTTGTTGTCTCAATAACTGGCTTTCTGTGTGACAAGTAACAGGACCACTGGCTGAACCCTTGGTGTTCAGTAAGTGATTTTGGTTCTCTGGCGGGGAATCCATTGCTCATGGCTCTGTTGTTGCTGAGCAGGAGAGTTTCAGTTACCCTCCTAGCAGCTGCGTGGCCCTTTTTGGCCAGAAGTGGATTTCAGTCTCTCTCTCCAGCACTGAAGTTGCTGCCCCTCAGTCATGTTTCTGATTGCCTAGGGGAAACAGCATTTGAAATTTGACATCAGCCGGGCTTGGTGGCTCAGCCTGTAATCCCGTGCCTTTGGGAGGCTAAGGTGAGCGGATTGCTGAGCCCGTGGGTTCGAGACCTGCCTGGGCAACTTGGTGAGACTTCATCTCTACAATAAATCAAAAAATCAGCCGGGCGTGGTAGCGCATGCCTGTAATTCCGGCTACTCGGAAGGCTGA